CATATTTAAGTGCTCTAATGATAAGTATATGTTTTGTACTTTTAGAGATAAATGTAAATATACTAAAATACATTACTATAAATATAAAACGTTATGTGCATATTCATTTCTACATACTCAACCATATAAGGAGCATATATTAGAGAAACAATTCTGCAACTTCAAAACTATTTTCGCAGTTTTTTTTTGTAGTTCTGAGGATTGAACTGAGAACTTTACATATAAAATACAACATACAACACAAGTACCCTACAAATGAGCTATATCACCAGTCCATATTTTCTTTCTCTATCCATCTGAATATTGAAATTACGGTACCTAAGACTTTTATATTATTTTACATTGAAAATTCTGCATTTTAACCATTTCTAATTATTTCAGAAAAATTTAATTTTCATAGGTTTCTAAGAGAAATTTGAAGCAACAAGTCAACCATTTTAGTCTTCAAAAGTAGAAGAAAGCGTTAAAACAAATTCTTACTTGCTGAGTCTGTCTAAATTCTTCTAATAGCTTTAGCGCCATATCATAATCTTTCAGCAGATGGTATGCAACGGCATACCCAATCCAGGAAGCACGCTGTGTTGGGCGCAATTGAAGAAGCTGATATCTTGTCTCCTTTAAAAATAATGTTTTAACTTAATTTTTTTTCTTTCATTCTTTATCTAAAATGTTTATATTTCATCTCAGTTTTAAGAAATGATCTTTAATAACCACTCTAATAAGGTCAATCAACAAATGTCAGTTCCAAAATGATACAAATGCTTTTATTTTTTTTGGGGGGGGGGTCTTTTTGAGACAGGATCTCCCTGTTCCAGCTGTCCTGGAACTCACTATGTAGACCAGGCTGGCCTTTAATTCACAGAGATCCACCTGCCTCTGCCTACCAAGTGCTGGGATTAAAGGCATGTGCCACCATGCCTGGCTGATACAAATGCTTTTTACATTTCTCATCTAAAGTTTCTGTATTAATTACATTAATACCCTGTAATACTCACTGTAAGGCTGTCACTAAAATCTTGACCGTAGGGCCCATGCCTTTGGGTATCTTATAAAATTATCTATACATAATAAAAATGTCCTCTGATAAAATTAAACATTTTGAAAGATTAGGATAACTTTTTATCATACTAGTTTTTTTTTAATTATATGAAATTATAGTTTATTTACACTGTTATAATTGGCCACAAATACAGGATGGACATAGCTAGGAGAAATATTCGAACAATAATGGGATTCTTCCAGTAGAAAAACCCCCAGTGCCACTATGAGATACTTGAACTCTTATATTAGGGACAAAAATACTAGAAATCCATGTTGGGCATGGTGGCGCACGCCTTTAATCCCAGCACTTAGGAGGCAGAGGCAGGCAGATCTCTGTGAGTTCGAGGCCAGCCTGGTCTCCATAGCGAATCCAGGCCAGCTAGCTAGGGTTACAGGGAGACCCTGTCTCAAAAAGACCAAAAGAAAAAAAAAATACTAGAAATCCTACCACAGCTGCCCCAGGAAAAAAAAAAAAAAAAACCAAGGTATCTTCCCTAGTAGAAAATCCAACCTCTCAACACAGACACCATCTCAAGAATAACTGTTTTTCTTTTTCCATGTTTTAAGCAAGTGCCACTGGTTGGAAGAACAAAGTCTCATGAAGAATATTAACTGTAAAGGAGTCTAGAAAATGTAGTATTTAACTTCCATGACTCTGTTGTTACATGGACACAAGAGGTGCCAAGTAAGTCCACCCATACTATATGTCATCAGGACCCTTTTCAGTTAGTCTTAGCCTCTACTCTCATGTCTGGTCCCTCTTAACAAACTAAGTTATATCACCTTATCCCTCATCTTTATTCTGGCTTCTCTGTCACTTTTACATCTTCGTTAAAGTCTGGGTCAGTTTTTTCTCTGACATGTCCTGTCATTATCTTGGGTAAATACAATAATAATGTGGGTTATCTTCTTAGTTGTAGAATTTTCTATCTTCAATGACCTCCACCCATTTTAGGGACCCACTCCCACAACTACCCCTCTAGAGGTTTAACCCACCAAGAAATTAAATTCAGAAATCTTATTCACTGGCCACAGCCCCTATGCCACCAGCATTCTAGCCTGGTTATAGCTCTACCTTTGTTCTTTGACACCACTAGTATCTCTGGTCCCATAGCTCCTTTGCTTTCACTACCTGCACTTTTGACTTACTGTATTTCATAATCCAGTTTAACAGCCACTATCGTTCAAATATTCTTATTTCTATTCCTCATTCCTAAAATCACTAATTTTAATTCCATCCTATACAAACAAAGCTGAAGACAACACACACACACAATTTCAAAGAATGGTATCATTATGAAGCCTGGCAAAGCCCTTGAATTTGATGAAATACAGGCATACAATGTATGTATGTATATGTCAGGAAGAGGGCAAAAGTTAGGAATAAATGATTTATTTAATGGTAACTATTAAGAGTTGATGGCTCCTTCACATAAGAAATTGGGGGACTCTTCTAGACACACTGATTTTAAGATACTAAATAGAATAGACGCATCAAGATGCCCAACAGAAAACCACAAGTCCAAGTCTGAGGAATTCTGAACTGTACAAAGAATTTTTAATGACAATTCTCAATTATTTTACTCATACTCTTAACTAACTTATAATAAAGAGAGCAAATAGGGCTGGAGAGATGGCTCAAGTGGTTAAGTGTACATGCTACTGTGGCAGAGAACACAGCCTAAGTTCCCAGCACCCACATAGCACTCACAACTATCTGTAGAACTCCAGTTCCAGGGCATCTGTACCCTCTTCTAGCCTCCTCAAGCACTGCATGCACATGATGCACATATATGCATGCAGGCAAAACACTCATACACATAAAATATTTAAAAGAAACTAATCTTTGTATTTCAATTATAAAAACTGAATGGCAAATCCACAGTTTGCTTAAAAATGTCAAAAACCACAAAGATACTAGTATAGCATTTGCACATAAAAGATACTCAATTTTTTAAAATGTAGGGTATGTGTTGTGTGCATGCATACATGCATGTGTGACACAGCACATATGTGTAAGTTAGAAGACAACTTTCAGGAGTCCATTCTCTCTTTTCACCATGTGGGTCCCAGGAATAGAAGACAGGTTATCATGCCTGGCAGTAAGTGCCTTTACCTGCTGGGCCATCTCAACAACCAATATTCTAGTTTTTTAAAAAGGATTAAATAATCAAATTATCCTTATCTAATACTCAAGTATGAAATTGTATAATGATTACCATAAGGTAGCCCCAAGTGACTTTTCTACAGATTCTAATGAATCATATGTATATGATCTTGCCTTAGGCTTACTTCATTCTGAACTCACATGCTTTTAAAATTTTAACCTTTGTATTAAAAAAAGTACATTTTAGACTCAAGTACTTACTCGATAACCTTCAAGATCTCGCATCTGAATCTGCAACAGAGAGAGATCCCTCAAGATTTGCAGATTATCTTTATCTAATTTGAGGGCATTTCGGTAACACTTAATAGCTTCATCATATTTCTTATCAGAACGTTGCAGAAGGCCATACGCATGCCAACCTACTAAGTTAAGGAACAGAAACACTCATGGACACTATAATGTACTATGCTACAATCTCTAATACAAAACCAACAAAATGGTATTTTATCTGGGATTTGTTTCAGAATGATCTGAGGTCAGAAAGAAGGGACAGTAAGGAACAGGCAAATATGAAAGCAAATAAGTCAAAAAGCTTTGACAATTTGTTAAATTGTTCAGTGGTGCATATATAATGATTCAATATTCAATCCCTTCCATTTCATACAGACTTGAAAGTTTCCATATTTTAATGTATTCTTTGCAAAAACATCATAACATTTTTCTACACTGTATCTCCCCTTTTTTGAGACAGGGTCTCACTATATAGCATCTGTTCTCTCAGGTATCCCTATGTAGACCAGGATGGCCTTTAACTCAGGGATCAGCCAGTCTCCGACTTACAAGTGCTGGGATTAAAGGTGTATGCCACCTAACTTGGGCCCCAGAACTTTATTTAACACAAGTATCTCAATATTTACCTCTCCAAAAACTGTGATTCTCAGCCAGACGTGGTGGTGCACGCCTGTAGTCCCAGCACTTGGGAGGCAGAGGCAGGCGGATCTCTGTGAGTTCAAGGCCAGCCTGGTCTACATAGTGAGTTCCAGGACAGCTGGGGCTACAGGGAGACCCTGTCTCAAAAAGAGAGAGAAAAAAATACTGTGATTCTCTTCTAAAATAAGTTTACATTCAGCCAAGTCTAACAAATCCATTATTTAATTCACTAGTGATGTTAAAAACCACAAATTGTTTTATTTCTTAGCATATCTTGGCAAAAAAAAACAAAAACAAAAAACTACCACACTTCCAGGCCCTCTCTTTACTTTGGGGTAAGAACTGGGATACACTAGGATATGAAAATGAGTATTCAGGGGCTAGAGAAAAGGCTCAACAATTAAGAGTACTTGCTGTTCTTGCAGAGGAACTGGGTTTGGTTCTCAACATGCACATAGTGGCTCACAGTAATCCAAAATTACAGTTCCAGGGGATGTGACACCCTTTTCTGGCCTCCAAGGGCACCAGGAACATATGTGCTACACCAATATACATGCAGGCAAAACACTCATACACATAAAATAAAAATAAATTCTAAAAAAAGAAAAATATTTTGTATTTTGAGAACAACCTATGCAAAATACGTGAAAACACTAAGGCTATTCGTGTTTACTATTAGTCGACTGCTAAGTGAATTAAAGGTGAAAAGCACCAGAGTACTGTGCGAAAAGACTGCCCATAAACATCTACATGGAAAAAGAAATGAAAACCTGCTTTAATAATTCTCCTTTAAAAGTTTTTTTGTTTTTTGTTTTTTGTTTTTACATAGACTATTAGCCAAAAAAATGTAAAGGTTCAGTCAAGTAATGGCTAAGTCCCTGTGTTAACAGAAATCAAGCTGAAGACCCTGTATAATACCTTTGCTGACACTAAGTAAACCCAGTTTCCATTTGCTAGTTTTGCAATCCTAGGGATCAAACCCAGGGTGCCTTTTATACATTAAGGAAGCACTCTACTACTGAGATACAAACCTAGCAAAACTTATAAAATAGGTTTCTCAGGGGCAGGAGAGAAAGCTCAGCAGTTAAGAGCATTAGCTGCTCTTACAAAGGACAAGGGTTTGGTTCCCAGCACCCACAAAGTGTATAACAACCATCTGTACTTCTGGTTCTAGGGGCTCTAATGCCCTCTTCTGGCCTCTGAAGGAACTGCACTCACGGATGCAATTATATGCAGGCAGGACTCTCACAGACATTAAATAAATAAATATTAAAAATAAAATAGATTTCTTGAGGGCTAGAGAGATGGCTCAGTGGTTAATAGCACTGAGTGCTCTTACAAAGGACCCAGGTTTGATTCCCAGCACCCACATGGCAGCTGACAATCATCTATAACTCCAGTTCCAGGGGAACTAACCTCTGCAGGCATTGCATAACATGGGTACACTTACACATGTGGGCAATACACTCATATACATAAAATAAAAATAAATAAAATTTTTTAAAAATAAAAAATAGGGGCTGGAGACATGGCTCAGCGGTTAAGAGCACTGACTGCTCTTGCAGAGGACCCAGGTTCAAATTGGGGCTAACAATGGCCTGTAACTCCAGTTCCAGGGGATCCAATTCCCATTTTTGGCCACCTTGAGCATTGTACAACATGGGGGCACTTAAATACATGCAGGCAATACATGCATACACGTAAAATAAATGAAATATTAAATAAATAAATAATAATAAATAAAATAGATTTCTTTTGAATTTAAATTTTCCTCTAAAATTGCTAAAAGAAAATTTAAGAAACACAAATGTTCTCAAAGATTAAGTAATTAAAAATCATTATACGGAATAGTATGGAAACTTAAGGGAAAAAGTGAGTTTCAAGTCATGTAAGTATCAAAGTAACTTCTCCAACACTGAGCACAACCAAAGACACACACACACACACAGACACACACACACACACACAGACACACACACACACATACACACAAAGGATTTTCTTTAAAAATACTCCAATAAATAGGGAACAAAATGTTGATAATTACTGAAGGTAATGTGTACATATATAGACGACACTAAGTAGATCTCAAAGATTTACAGCAAGTCATTGAATTAGAAAAGACTAGTGAACAGAAACACAAACTAAATTATGTAACTACAGCAAAAGGATACAGACATGACTCCTGACATCATTATGAAGTCCTTTACGAATGAATTTGTATGCTTCTTCTCTTTTTCCTAAACAGTTCAACGTTAATCCTTTCATAGCCAAAGTCTCTGAAAAATAATTTTAGCCTCTATTTACACATGAAAGATTCAAATTATCCTCTTAGCACTATCTTACTGTTTGAGTCTGGAGTATTACTATTATACTATTCATCACAACATTCAAGAACAAAATGTAAAACCATATTTAAGTATTTGCTTAAAGCTTAACCTAAGTCCTTTTCTAAAATTCCTTAGATTAAAATGGAATAGCTAAAATGTTTTCTGCCCTTTATAAGACTATATAAAGTTGATATTACCCTCTGAAAAAAATTAAAGCAGGTATCTGAGTCCTGTTGAATTTAGTAGCTCAGGTTTTCTAGAGGCAAATTCTTCTGTGTGCACAGGCATGCAGGTGAGCACATGCCAGGTGCACAGGCAGAGGTCAGAGGACAACCACAGATGTTGGTCCTCACCTTGTTTGAGGCAGGGTCTCTGTTTCACCACCACAAATGCCAGATTAGCTACACCATGATCTTCCAGGGATTCTCCTATCTCTGTGTATCATCTCATTGCAAGAGCCCTGGGATTAAAGACACTTTCCCACATACAGTTTTTACATGCATTCTGGGTATTCCAACTCAGATCTACACACTTGCACAGCAAGCACTAAGCCATCTCCCTACCCCTGGTCCCCACCAAGACCAATTCTAACCAATCACAATCGAATTTATACCTCACAAAAATAGTGAATCTACTTAAATGAAGCGATAGAGATACACAATGGAGCTAAAGAGCTGGCTCAGCGGTTAAGAGCACTGACTGCTCTTGCAGAGGACCTGGGTTCAGTTCCCAGCACCCACCTATCCTTAACTCCAGTTCCAGGGGATCTGATGCCCTCTTCTGGCCTCTTTAGGCACTGCACACATGTGGTGCACTTACATATATGCAATCATACAACACATAATTTTTTATAAAAGATATAAATTATAATCATTATCACCATATTCAATATTGAATAGATTTTATTTTTGTCAGCAAATGTATTTCAATAGTTCTACTTATCCTCATATTTTGGGAGCATAACACTGGTCTATGAATTGGCAACCCAAGAAAATGTTAGAAAGTTAATGAAAGATGAAGGTGGTTTACAATGAAATGGTTCTCTAAAAAATTCCAGAAAAGGGGAATTAGACAAGAACAGTGGCTTTTGAACTGATCTCTGTAGGCTCTAGTTTTCAGAACACAGTGGTCCAGCTTCCCAGACCCATAACCAAACTTTCATTTCTTTGACATTCTGAATTTTTCCATAGCTTCCATTTGGATAAGGGCTCCATAAGAAAAAAGCTTGAAAAAAGAGAGCATTAAATTTCTATTCTACTGAGTCTATAAAAATACTGATACAGATTGAGTATCCCTAATCCAAAAATCCCAAATCTTAAATGCTTCAAGATCTAAAACCTTCTGAACAATAAAAGGATGCTCAATAGGTGCTCAAAAACAAACTAGGCTATTTCAGATTTTTGGAATTGAGATGTTCAACTGATAATTTATGCAAATACCCCAAAACTCTGATATCTGAAACACTTAAGATGAGAGACATTCAAACATTTCAGATGAGGGATATTCAACATGCATATTACCTCATCCAATTGTCCCTCAACAGATCAATTTTCTCATCTAAAATTAACAACACTCTACATATATTGAAGCACAATAAAAATAGTCCAGCATAAAATTCATTTGAAACATAACTAAAACTGTTAAACATTTATGTACTCAATAGAGAGTTTTAAAACTCTGGAATCTGAGGATCCTTTCACTGTTAAAAATTCTGATTTTAGAATTCTATTTCCCCAAAACAATATTTCAACAGATGAGACAATACCTCCGTGTTCAGCAAATTTAGGATTTGAAAGAATCATCTTGCAAAACTTGAGGCCATTTTTGTACTGCTTCTGTTCATAACATTTCTATAAAGAAACAGGAATAAAAGTTATTTTATAAAAGGAATGGATAATGAAATTTGGGGGGGGGGGTCTTTTTGAGACAGGGTCTCTCTGTAGCCCCAGCTGGCCTGGAACTCGCTATGTAGACCAGGCTGGCTTCAAACTCACAGAGATCCGCCTACCTGTGCTTCCCAAGTGCTGGAACTAAAGGTGTGCACCACCACACCTGGTGATAATGAAGCATTTTATAAAAGGAATGGGTAATGAAGCAATCTTTAGCGTAATGGCAAGCTATTTTATCTATTTATATTAATTATAACATGGAGTACTCTTTGCTATGTATGCCTTGACAAATTAAGCATTTTCACTTTAGTAGGAGATAAGGACATTTAATAAATGGGGAATTATCTACCACACTGCCTCAGAATTTTAATTAAAAATATAAAGCAAAATCTTCTTGTTCCAATCTGCCTCTAGCTTAGTGCCCACTGATAAACTTTTCCCTACCTCCTGCTCCCACCACTCTCATGCATCTCTGGTAACCTCTTTTCGTTTTTTCTGGTCTCAACTTTTCTTGGTTACACACGAGTCTTCCAATTCTTTCAGTACTTTCCTTTTGTGCCTGGCTTACTTCACATTAAATGATGTCTTAATTCTATCTATGATGCTGAAAATGACAGACTTTCATCCTTTTTTATGGCTGATCAGTTCTCCATTGTGAATATGTGCCATGATGTTCTTATTCATTTATCAGTAAAAGGACATTTAGACTGTTTTCATTTATTGGCTATGTGAGTGGCACTGCAATGAACATGGTGCAGATGTCTCTTCCATATATTGATTTCACTTCCTCTAGCTATATACCCATCAATGGGATAACAGGATCATTTAGTAGTTCTCTTTTTTTTTTTTAGGAAAAACTGTACTGGTTGCTTTTTAAATGTGTGCGTATACACACCATGAACACAGGCACATGATGTACATGTATGGTTGTACACATGCCACAGTGCACATTTGGAGGTGAGAACAACTTTACAAAATTGGCTCTCTCCTTCCACCTTTATGTGGATTCCAGGGATCGAACTCAGGTCATCAGGCTAGCAGGACAAGTTTTTTACCAGCTGAGCCATCTCATTACCCCGCCATATTGTTTTCTACAGTGGCTATACTAATTAACATTACCAAAAACAATGAGCAAGTGTTCCCTTTTCTCCACAACCTTGCCAACACTTCTGTCTTTTAATTTTACTTTTTTTTTTAAAATGTGTATGAGTGTATTGTCTGCATGTATGTACATGCACTCATGTCTTCCAATGCACTGTGGAGGTCAGAAGAAGGCGTCGGATCCCCTGGAACTGTAAGGATGTCTGTTAGCCATCATGTTGATGCTGGGAACCGAACCCAAGTCTTCTGCAAGAGCAGTCAGTGCTCTTAACTGCTGAGCCATCTCTCCAGTCCCCTTTACTTGATTCTAAAAAACAACTTCTTTAAGGTAAGTATTATTACCTCACTTTACTAATGTGGAAAGTAAATCTCTGAACATACCCAACTGACCTTTGCTGCAAACTGTGGTCCAGCTATAAAGACCATCATTCATCTAATGCAAGCACAAGCAACATCTTTACTCCCAAATCACATAGGCCAGGTTAAATGATCAATGTGTCTCTTCATCAGTCATTGATCAGAATACTTCACCTTTCCACTTGCCCTTCAATTAAAATGTTCAGTCTGAGTGGATGTCCTATCACTCAGTATGCAAGCTTTCCTTCACCTTAAGGCCTCTACAAGGTGTTCCTTCCAACTAAAACATTCTTCCTCAGATCATCCCATGGCTGTTCCTTAAGTCTTTTCCATCACCTATTTGATCATGCTATCTAATACTGCCAGTCTCCTGCCCTTTCCCTACCCATACTAACTACCCTGTTGCTATCATTCTCTCTGAAATCTTACTTATTCAATTACTTATTTAGTAATTTAGTATCTGTCTTCACCATTGTGTGAGCTCTGTGAGAAGAGAGATCTTGTCTAGGCATCACTATGCCCAGAAAAATAGGAGTTGCTCAATAAATCAGCCTCAAAATTCAAAGCAAAATCGCACCAGCAATGCACATGGACATGGCTAGTCTTTGCAGCAGAAACTGAATGTTTAAGAGAGAATTTGAAGTCTTTATAGAAATATGCTTAAACTGAATCTTCTTCATTGCCTCTAGGAAGGGAACCAAGTGATAGAAGACAAAGGTAGCAGAGAAATTTAAATTTTGAATCTTATAAATATATTACCTATTCTAAAAAAGAAAAAAGAAAAAAGAAAAAAAAGCTAGCTGCCGAGTGTGGTGGCACATGCAGGGGCAGGCAGATCTCTGTGAGTTTAAGGCCACCTACGGCTACAGGGAAACTCTGCCTCAAAAGACCAAAAAAGAAAAAGAAAAAACCTAGCCAGGCCTGGTGGCTGAGGCAAGAGGAAGGACTGCCATGAGTTAAAGGCCAGCCTGGGCTACACAGTGAGTTCTACTATGGACTAAGTGAAACTCTGAAACACTGTCTCAAAAAAATTAAGTAAAGCCAGGCGTGGTAGTACACACCTTTAATCCCGGCACTTGGGAGGCAGAGGCAGACGGATCTCTGTGAGTTCAAGGCCATCCTGGTCTATAGTGAGTTCCAGGACAGCTGGGGCTACAGGGAGACCCTGCTTCAAAAAGACAAAAAAAAAAAAAAAAAAAAAAAAAAAAAAAAGTAAATAAAACAGAGCTGACAAGATGGCTCAGTGGGTAAAGGTGCTTGACACCAAGCCTGACAATGTGAGTTTGATTCACAGGACCCATATGGGAGAGAACTGATCCCTGCAAGTTGTCCTTTGATCTGCCGCACACATATACACATACTCAAGTCCGAGTTTGACAATAGAGGTTCATTTGAAAAATGACAAAGGAAGGAGGCATAAAAACACAAGCAGAAGGGACTACTGAGGAAGAGTACCACGTATTCTTTAAGTAATAATACAGATGCTGTTAATAACAATAACAAAAAGAGTTACCACTTGTTATTTGTCAAGCATGGCTCCCAATTAAACTTTAAGCTTCGTATAAAAGTGAGATTTAAAACTTTCAACCAGGGGGCTGGAGATGGCTCCTAAGTTAAGAGGAATGAAGAGTGTTTCCTGCTTTTCTAGAAGACCTGAGTTCAATTTCCAGCACTCATTTGGACTATACACAATTGCCTGTAATTCCAGGTCCAGTGGTGACACCCTCTTCTGGCCTCCATGGGTACTGCACTCAGGTGCACAATCCCATAGACACAGACACACATACACACACACACACACATACAAAATTAAGAATAAAATTAAGGGGGTTAAGAGGACTGACTTCTCTTGCAGAGGACCCGGCACCCACATGGTGGCTAATCATCTGTAACTGCAGTTCCAGAGGAATCCGACGCCCTCTTCTCTTCCGGCATCTTAAAAAATAAAATAAAATTTAAAAAAATAAAATTAAGTTAAGCATAATGGTACATGCCTTTAATTCTAGTGTTTGGGAGACAGAGAGGCCAGCTGGTCTACATGGTGAGTTCCAGGCCAGCTGGGGCTACAGCAAGACCCTGTCTCAAAAAAACTAAAATTAAACAAATAAATTTAACTTAATTAAAATCTTTTTTTTCATCCCAAGGCTGGTTGTAGTACCCACAATTGTTATCCCAGCACTTTGAAGGCAGATGCAAGAAGACCAGGAGTTATGTCCATCCCACACTACAGTTCAGGTTAGACATAGCTACAAGAGGCTGTCTCAAAAAAACAACAAAATTTCTCCTACCTACTACGTGCCATTCTTAACATTCTCAATACTGTGAAGTTTATACTGGTTTACAACAGAACTACTTCCATGAATTTTATCAGCTGCTGATAATAACCTACTGTACGATCAGTATTTATTTTCAGTTAAAGCAGACCAATGGCTAACTGCTGTGTAGCCACCACAACCTCTCATTACAAACCCTTAAAATCTAAATGCCTGTTGAACAAATACACTTTTTTTTTCTTCAAATTTTAATGGGCAGATTAGAAGGGACAGCTATCAGGTGCTGGAGTGAGGGCTCAGCAGTTAAGAGCACTGTCTGCTCTTACAGAGGCCCCAGGTTCCATTCCCAGCACCCACATGATGGCTGACAACCATCTGTAACTCCAGTTCCAGGGGATCCAAAGCCCTCTTTGGGCATTGCACAACACAAGTGCACTTACATACTTGCATACTTTGGGCAATACACTCATACACATAAAATAAGTGAAAAAATTTTTAAAAGACAGCTATCAATATTAATCTAAAATCTTCATTCTCCGGGACATATTGCAAAACACAATGGTATGTCACCTCTCCTTGAAGGTCGGAATTTGGAAATCCGAGGGAGCCAGGTAAGCTGGCACACACCCAAAGAAAACTTCTGGGCCTAGGGTGGTGTTCTAATGCTTTGCGTGTTAACACTATAAATCTGAGTCCAACCTAGGAGCGACGAGGGGCATCACACACACGCAAACTCGCCCACGCAGTGCCAGCCTGGCTCTCTAGGACCGGGGGCTCAATAGCCCGCAGCCGGCGCTGGGGGCTCCAGCAGGCGGGGGGCTCCCACTGAGGTAGGCCGGGGGCGCAGTGCTACCGCCTGGATTGCCTCGAGGGGTATGTGCAGAGAGCCGCTGCGGAAGGTCCCCTTGCTGCAGAGGGAGCGGAAGACACCAGGCCCCAGCGGCTTTGCCAGGGAAGTTTCTGGAAAAGGCGCGGGGCGGTGAGCCTAGCCGGCGGCAGAGGCTAAAAAGCAGCACTGGGGCGCGGCCGGCGGGGGAGCCGGGCTCTGGGGTAACAAAGCGCAGCCGAGGCCGAGTGGGCCGCCACCCGCCGCTCACCAGAACGCGTTTGAAGAGGGCGCTCTCCTTGGGTGGCAGCCGCACGCTGGGCATCGCGGCGGCCGGGAGGCCGGACGCGGCGTCCCTGCTCGCTGGGTGGACCCGGGGACTAGCCGCTGCCGGGAGCCGGGCCCGGGTTACTCCATTAGCACCGAGCGGGCTAGGACCCGGCTGACTGGAGAAGGGAACATACACAATCCGCACTCTGACGTGCGGCCCGGATGTCACGCGCGCTGCAACATGGCAGCCGGGCCCGGCTCTCTGCACCGCGCATGCGCGGGACGCTTCCCGAGCCGGCTGGAGGCCGCTTGCCAGGTCAGTGCCAGGCTGTGGCTCCCGTCAACACCTCAGCTCCAAGCCCAGGAAGCTGGGTGACTCATGCTCCATACCCTAAGACACTGACTTACATTGCGCGTAGTACATTGCTTCTGCCAAGATATGTAAGTTCTTTCCGAGTGAAGTTTCTTTTGTTTTGCTCAATTTAAACCCTGTTGACACAATGTAGATTCTGGAGGCAGAATTTTCTTGCCCTATTTAGGTAACTCTTAGGTTTTTCCTTTCACTGCAGATCAAAGTAGTAATCACTACCTATGCTAGAATATGGCCAGACCTTGAAATGAGCTGTCTGATAATAAAACCCCTTTGGAAAAAAAAGATTGTAAAAAGTATTCTCAGCCTGGCTTGTTGGCAAGAATCTATACTCCCAGCACTTGGAAGGCAGAGGTAGGAGGATGGCCTTAAATTGCCTTAAATTAAGAGATCAGCTTGGTGTACTTAGGAATTTCCTGTCAGGCTTGAAAGAGAAGGGGAGGGGAAGAGAGGGATAAGCAAAAATGTTCCCAGCCACAGGGAGGGAGGGAGAGAGGGAAAGGAAAAAAGCGAAAAAAATATGCTTAGCCATGTAGGGCACCTAACATTTTCAGTAGGAATTATGGTGGTTATTTATGGG